AATTCTTCCCAATTTTAAACAATTGACAAAAATGTGATCTGCTCAATTAATACATTATCTTTATTTATGACAACCTGGATATCTACATACTTCAGATTTAGTTAAAATAATCAGATTTTTCTATTTTATCAAAAATTATCAAATTTCAGAAAAACTTCTGTCGACATGTATTATTTTTAGTCTTACGAATATTCTGCATATCTGCAGTCTTTTATCATTATTCAAATAATAATATCATATGAAATATTTCAAGATAAATTGAACGCTCAGAATTTTAGATAAATAAGAAAAATCTTTGCTTTTCAATAGAAATCGAATCATAATGAATTTTATTCTATGATCAACATTTATCCATGAAAATTAAGAAAATATCAAAGATGAGATACGAATTCGTTAAGTTTTAATGGAAATATTATCCTCAAAAATTGAGGAAATTTTATATTTCATTAATAATTATCGTTCATCGAACGATTGATGAAAAAAAATAGAAATGGAAGTTATTATTTCTTTCAGTACTATCGGATGAATTTCTTTCAAATCATTTGAAGCTTAAGAAAAGTTATCTTTCTTTGGATTTTTGAACTGACTGACTGACTGAGCCTCAATGAACTCAACAGGTTCGAATAAGAATTCAATGATTAAGTGATGGAAATTGAGTCGTGATGTTGTCATAAATAAATTGATCGAAAGGGGAAGAACGTTGTCTAGATTGTAAGTAGAGAGACTCAAATCATTATGGTTTGATTTGTACTTTAATATAATTGAGTCATTTTTTATTCCCTATGTTAAATTAATATGAAATGTCGATCACAAATCTCAGATTAACGATTATTTTCAATCTTCTTTGAAGAAGTTTCAAAAGAAATATTAAATTTTTAATTTCAACTCAAACAATGAACGATGATCGATTATTTAACTTCATTTCACCAAAGTCTATTCAATCAAAATTATCACAGAAATAATTATCTTATTGAATAAAGATGACTACAAAAAAAAATATGAGAAAATGGTTCGAATGGATAAAGTTCAATGTAAATGAACATAAACTATCTAAAAACTCTTCATAAAATAAAAACTTCGATTTTCTTGCTGTTATGCTTTTTGTCATTTCTTCGAAATCTCACTTACATATTGCACCCCCATTATCACTGATTTGATTCGCGCTAAGGTAGAGTTTGGTGAGAGTCTATATGAAAAAAGAACAAGTAAATGAGAGTTAGAAATAAGTTGAAATCATATCTCATTACTCTTCTCATCTAATTGATTGTAAATTAGAATGATTTTCAGTAGATAAATATCCAGAAAAAAGATAACCATTTTGGCGTTGTTCGTCTTAGTTTATTTGAATATTAGACTCATCTCTAAACTCTTAGAACTATTGGAAATGATTGAAATGACATTATTTTGAGAAATATCAATTTACATGAAAAACCAATATTTGAAATTTCATTTTTTTTCTAATGTTAAACATTACCGAATCCACATTCACCCATCTACAGTTAATATATTCTAAAGATGGGTGTCGATGTGGGTTTGAATGTATGTGTGACCTGATCACACCTTCACCCCCACACTGACCGCCACCCGCACACCCATATTATGTCAGCAATACAAATAATAACGAAGACCTTTCATATTTGCTATCTCCTTTTTTCTGGTCGCTTTCTGTATCTTCCTAACCTCTGTTTCTTCTAGAATCAAATTTATATGTTGTAAAAACATGCTTTGTTCGATAGATGCTGAAGATCGATGTGGATGAGAAGTACGAATATTGTTGAATAGAGTATGCAGACCCACAATCACAGTTACACTCCAAAAATTGACGTGTCTAACCGATAATATATAAGATGCTTCTGAACAATCGAATGTTGAGAAATTTAATTAATCGATTTGTTCTATTTCGAAGAAAATCAATCTTAAAAATAAAATATTCTCAGACAACTTCTACATCTATTTGTTTTATTGGTGAATCCAAAGAAATTTGTTATCGAAAACAATGAAGAAACATTTCAAACGACAATATTATCCGATTGATAAAAACTGAAAGATTAAAATTATTAGAAAAAGTTTTTGCATCTTTCTAATAGAATCCAAATGTGAAACACCTTAGATCAGCTTTCATTATTAACTAAGATTTTTGTTATATTTAGCATCGTATGTAGCTGAATTAATAATCAAATATGCTGGAGAAAAACCTGGTACGATCTACGAGAAATAGAGAAAAATGTTTGTTTTCTATTTGTAGACATCAATACCGATGGTCAATAAAAATTGTAGAAAATTGACAAAAGAGTCAACTTCTTGTGTTTTCCATGATATTCAACATCTTTTTTGATTATAAATCAAGACTTTACCCAAATGCGTCAGTCATCCAGAGAATATATTTATCAAATAATAATTGAAGAAAAACTTTGAAATAACGACAAACGATCACAAAAATGTGTTTCAATGACTTTTCGTTCATTATAAAACAATAGTTTGTATAAGACTTGAAACTACGTTATGAATCTAGTTGAAAATATGGGTCTTCTCCATCTCTAATTGATAACCTACGAAACCGATAAGTTGATCAATTAAATGGGTGTCCCAGGATTAATTGCACTAAATCCTGGTACATTCTTCTCTCATTTTCTAATGCTAAAAAATTTTCCTTAGATACCAAACGATAGAAAATTTCAAGTTCCACAAAACTGTGGGTTTTTTTTTTCACACAAGTCTGCCCTTTCGGCGCGCAACTAAGTATATTCTCTTCTACTTAGGGTGTGGGTGTGGGTGTGAGTGTGGGTGTGGGTGTGAGTGTGTGGGTGGGTGTGGATGTGGATGTGAGTGTGTGGGTGGATGTGGGTGTAGGTATGGGTATTTCCATCATTCACACCCACGCCCACACCCTGTTTTTTACATGAAACTTATATATTTCAACAGTTTGCTACTTATTCTTCGGCTTCAATTGCTTCTGTATTCTAAATTCTTTCTGTTTGTTCCAGAAAGTCTAGCAGCATCTTTTAGAATGTGGAATCTCAACAATCTGGCCACGTTTGATTCGGAATTATATGCTGCATTCTAGTAGTTTACCGCTTGCACATTTTCTCAAACGTACAGAGGACCTTCATCTGAATTGGTTCGATTTCCTTCTCCGATACTTTTCTGCAATGATAATGCAGGATTCTAAAGATCATAAAAGAAGCTCAATCTTGATATTGTACATAATCTTTACAACAGTAAATGGGATGATTTCTCTATATTTTATTGTATTGTATTCATGTTTCTAACATGAAAGAGTCTATAAATTGTTAGATCCACTATTGTTTTTATCTTGATCGTACTTTGAAGCTTGACAAGAGTATATTTACAATGGATAAAGGATTGTTTTTACATTGATTTAATTGAAGACAAAATGGTAAAAATTTTTCACGTGGAATTGAATCTAAATTAATGTGTATTTTTGTTTCATATTGAATTAGTTGATTCAAACGTTGATTTAAACCATTAAATATTTCATATAAATGATAGAAATCAAAATAAGCAAAACATTTTGATATCAATTCATTGAGTAATTGTTCAAATTTTATAATTTGAATAATCTTTGTTGTCTTTTAACGTTTTCTGTCAGACATTAAAGTTAGTATCAAAAAGTCCAACATTACACTTAGATTTCTGTGTTATATAAATACTTGTTGTAATTACTCAACATTATGAAATAACATAAAGATAAAATGAGTTCTTTTTTTTGTCCATCAACACGAAATATCTTTTATCAAGAATCAACAAATATAAATTTACTTAGCGTGCATTCGTCTATCAGTAAATTGATTCTAGTCTCTTAGAAGTTTTATGAAAATAGGATTTACAATATATCATTCGATGCATCTCAAAAAGCTTTATAATGTAGTATATTTAGTTCTTCATTCACCTTATCCGACAAAGTCCTTTAAATATCGTAGCTAGAGGTTTTGGTCAACTCTAAGTATTTCTATAAAAACATCGATGAAATTTTACAAATTGTTTTTCAAAACATTTTAATTATTAATATAAAATGTTTTAATCGTGGTAATGTCAGGCGAATCGTTATTCATAAAGAAATTTCGAAAAAATCTTCTAATTGATTGCATATCTTCTGGTTTGCTTTTATCTACAACGGTTCAGATTTTAATTAATTTTAAATTTAATGGAATATTTGGATTTATTTCTATAATTGATGGTAGTATCTATTAAAGTATCGAATTATAATAAAGAATTTTTGAATGAGAAAGTATTTTTATGCGTAGTTTGTTTGGTCCAGGATATTTGTCTTGATCAAAATGAATTGCATGTATCATTAAATTTTGTAATTTTGGTAAACATGGTAATAACCTTTTATTAAAGGTATCGAACGACAATTTTGTTGTGGCATCGTTAACATAACCATAAGGGATATCTATTAAAATAAATGAGATATATGTAGATAGAGAAGAAGAAATAATTAACTTCCGATAATAAGAATTTCTAAATTAGATAATGATTTTTCTCTTTCTGTTCATGTAGATATAAATACTTTTTGAAATTTAAATTCAAATATTTTAATGATTTCATTTTTGATGATATTAAATGACTACATAAATCTAAATATGTAAAATAAAGTTTTGTATCTCAAAGACAATTCTTACGTTTTATATCATCGCTGTGTTCATTTTCTTCGCCAATTGCATTCAGTAAACTTAATCGTTCTACGTTTTGATACAATTTTATTGTTTCATCAAATATTATAGAAGATAGAGTTTTAGCATCTATATTTGATAATTTTAATGATTTTACTTTAGAAAATTTATCTTTAAATAAATCATCGTAAAATATTAAATTAAATCTATATCTATCAAGAGCTACAATTGATAATGGATAGTTTTGACTTATTGTCATTATTTGATTGAAGTCAAAACAAAATGTTAAAAATTTTCAAGATGGAATTAAAGCTAACTCAATGTAAATTATTGTTTGATATTGAATTAACTGATTAAAACGTTGATTTAAACAATAAAATATTTCATATATATGATAAAAGTCATAATAACAAAAACACATCAATACCAACTCGTTTGGTAATTGTTCAAATTTCGTAATTGGAATTGTGTTTAAACTAATGAAAATATCAAAGAATAACAATAAATTAATAAGACTTACATTTCATTGTTCATTGTTCTCTGATGTTTTCTGTCAGACATTAGAGTTTTTCAATACAGAATAACAAGAAGTATATACCATCGCACTTAGCTTTGCATATTGTATATATATATATGTGTTAATAATTGAAGCATCCGAACCGGGGGTGTTGCCTAACCTTTTGCCCGCTTAAAAGTGTGGTGACCGCTGCATCGTCGTATCTGCCTTTTCTCATGTCCCTTTTTATTATTCTTATTCCCAGTGTATTATAGCTTTTCTCAATGTGTTAGCTGTTCTCTCACCCTCGCACCTGTACCAAGAGTAGCAGCAGCGCTACTCCTCGAGTTCCATTATAATATACTTGTCTAATCACTCAACATTGTAAAAAAAAAATATACAGATCGAAGAAGTTTTTTTTTTGCATTTCGTTCTACAATGACCATAGTCATCTCACTAATTTCATCAGCACAGTTATCTTACAATTATACTGAACATTTTTTTAAATAAAATTTGGTGATTTGTAGAAACGATTCTCGACCAGATTATTGTTTGAGTTTGATACGTCCTCTATGTACTGTTTCACTATTGATTGATCTTAAGGAATATGAGTTCTGAATCTATTCGATATTAACATAATAGTTCACACTGAAATGATAACTCATTGTTGACATTAAGCTTTCATTTAAGTTTCATCTGAAACAAAAATCAATAGCATTGTAAACAATTTGTCATAGACAATTTATTCTAGAATAATGATTTGATATTTAACCATTAGAAGTTTATTTTGCGATACAAAAAAAGTAGAAGAACATAATTCGCTTTTTTTATTATTTGAAAATGAATACCGTAGATAAAAGTTTATCATATAAATGATAGACAGACGAAGTTCTAAAGAACATTTTTATTGTTAATTTTGAATATTTTAATTGTTTTAATGTCAGACGAGTTATTGATAAAGAAATTTCGTACTATATTTATATTTTTTTCCATATAGTGAGAGTTGTAGCTTCGATTAATCCAGATTTTAATTACTTTTAAATTTAATGGTAAAATTGAATTTGTTGTTGTTGTTGTAGTTGATGATAACTATTATAGAAAAATTTAATAAAAATTTTCTTCCGGAAAAATAATATCAAAATATGTCTAAACTTCATCGGATAATCCAATTCGAAGTCATTCTTATGAGATTATCTCTCGGTTTTTTTTTTTGAATGGCTATTAGATTCAAAACTTTCATTGAGCAATTCTAATAATGCTTTTCGCATACTTTATGTCGTTGTCGTTGAAAGAAGTCTTCAAAACAAATTGAATTTATAATTAAATTTTTTAATTTTGGTAGACATGGTAATAAATCTTCTATCAATGTGTAAAAAAATATGTTTGCTCTTGCTTTAGTATTATAATTATCAGAAATATCTATACATACAGATTAGATATATGTGTAGAAGATAGAATTAAAATAACTTACTTCCAATAATAATTGTTTCTAAATGACTTAATGGTTTTTCTCTTTTTTCTAATGCGTGAAAGTCTAAAAAAACAGAGAATTTGCGTCTGAACGAATTAAAACTACATCCACACCAATATGGTTTACAATTTAATTTCAAATATTTTAATGATTTCATTTTTGATGATATCAAATTTTTAAATAAACCTAAATGAACAAATGCAAGTTTTGTATCTCAATCAATCATATTTAAATTGTTATTCTTACGATCTATGTTAAAAGATCCTTCACGGTCTTCACGGATTTTATCTAGTAAACTTAATCGTTCTAAACTTTGATATAATTTTGTTGTTTCATTAAATATTAGACGATCTATAGTTCCAACATTCATTTTTGATAATGATAATGATTTTAATTTAGAAAATTTCTCTTGAAATAAATCATCTTCTAATATTAAATTAAGTTTGTGTTTACCATAAGCTATAATTGATAAAGGATAGTTTTTACATTGATTTAATTGAAAACAAAATGTTAAAAATTTTTCAGATGGAATTGAAGCTAAATTAATATGTATATTTGATTCATTTTGAATTAGTTGATTAAAACGTTGTTTTAAACCAGAAAATATCTCATATAATTCATAGAAATTGAAATATGCAAAACAAATTAATATCAATTCATTTGGTAATTGTTCAAATTTTGTAATTGAAGATGTGTTTAAACTAAAGAAAATTTCGAAGAATAGCAATAATCAATACAACTTACATTTTATTGTTTGTTGTTTTCTGACGTTTTCTGTCGGACATTAGAATTTTTTACTACAAAGTGTCAAAAAGTATACCATCACACCTTAATTTGCATATTATATATATATGTTATGGCCAAAATTAGAATTCAGCCCAATTTAGAATTCGTCCAGACGAAATTAGAATTCTAATTTGGACTAGACGAAATTGAAATTTTAATTTCGACTGTGATGATTATGGACGAAATTGGAATAATTTTTAGTGAATGAAAAATAGTAAAGAAAGATATGATTAAAGTGCCAACAAATATTTTATTTTACAAAACTTTTTAACAAATATT